GCGAATAAAAATACTATAGGTCTATTATTAGCGAATTAATGTGTTAGATCGATGTTTGGTGTTAAATTTCCTGTTTCGGAAAAGTTAAACTTTTAGGTTTAACAGTATTATTTGGTATTGAATTTTGTTAATTATTGCTTAAAGCCATAATTCAATTTAATAAAATATTCTTAGTTCTTTGCTGAATAGTAAATTCTTGATTTGCCAAGTTTTTAGTTTTTGTTTTTTGGTATTTATCCAAAAACTCTGTTTGTAGATCAACAAGTAATTCATTGCATTTATTACAATTGCAAATAATTTTTATTTTTTTAGATTTTTTTTTGAACTTTTACTAAGTAAAACTGAGATTGAAAGCTTTCTTGCTATTTCAATTGACAAATATTAAACATAAAATAACAAAAGTCATCATTTAATTCCAAATTGTCAAATGTTGACAAATCTTAATATAATATATAAATTTTAATATAATATAACAAATTTTTATTTAATAAGATTAAATAACAAATATAGCATGACGAATTTAAATATAACAAATCAAATGACAAATTTTAATATAAAAATACCAAATAAAAAATTACAATAATACAAAATGATATAAATAATAATATAATAAATGTTGAATTATATGACAAAACAATACATAAAATTTTATATAAATATTTTATTAATTTAATCAAAATTAATTTTTGTTAAAATGTCTAAACAATAAAAAAAACCATCTGATAAAAATATTTATAAAGAAAAGTCACAATATTCATTATCTTCACAATCTTCAGAACATTCTTTACAATCCCAACAATTATTTTCTTCTGTTATATCAGAAGAGCATATAACAATCACTAGTATTGAAGGTTTAATTCCTATAATAGCAGTCAAATTGCTCAGAAGAAGATTAGGTTCTGAAAAAGTACTGAACTGGTATCGAAATGGTATTGAAATGGTACCGATCTATAGCAAATTTAATATATGTGTTGTGACTTACTCATGTTTTTATAGTAAATTTAAATATTGAATTGATATCAAAGTAGTATCATTAAAAGCCCTAGAAGAAAGCTATCTTTTTCATTACCTACAAGCTTAGCGATTGAAGTTGCACAAGTATTGACTCCTGAACCAAAGTCTGTGACTCAAACTCGAGAAGAAATAGAAAAAGATACAATTTAAATTATTTTTAAATCATAAAACTTACTTTTACTAATTTGTCGATTTATTTAGAAAATAAAAAGTTATATACAAAAGTGAATGAACTAGAAAAAGCAAATGCCAATTTGAAGGCACAATTAGTTACACTGGAACATATAAATAGAATATTTTTTGATGAATTAAATTAGCAAAAAAAGTATATTGAATATCTAAAAAAGAAAAATAAACAATTAAAATCACATAAATCAGCATTAGAGCCAATAGTAGTTGTGAAAACTACAAAAGTAATATCTGAATCTCAAAACCAATCCAAACCTATGACTGAAGCTGAAACTGAATATATAATTTCAGATTCCAAAAATGTGCCAAATATATTAAAGAGTCGAAGAATTAAGCTTCCAAAAAAGGGTAAAGGAGTTAAAAAGGATAAAGATATCAAAAATAATAAAGATGTTGAAAAGGGCAAAGTAATAAAAACAGTTAAACCTCCAGAAACTGTTTTTAAAAATGAAAAAGAAAAGAAGGCAAGAGCTGAAATAAAGGTTCTGATGAAAACTATTCCTAAAGAACTTCAACTAAGGGTAAATGAAGTTTATTCAAGTGAGGCGAATAAAAAAATATTAAGCAAGTTAATATACGAATTATTAAAATTAATGGCTTCACATTTTAATACATCATGAAAGCAGCTGAATGATTGGTCAGGTGCTTTACATCGTTATCAAAGAGGAAGACATCGAAAAACACAAACAGGAAAATTAGATACACACAATTGTCATTACATGCAAATAGTCAATTAAGTGAGATAAAATTAATTGATATTTATATTATATTACTTGTATTAATTTTTATCAAATAATAAAGAAAAGAGTATGAAAAATCAAAAGTGCATAGTTACTTATTGACAAAAAAGTCCAAGAGTATTGCAAAATATCAGAAGAAATTGATCAATATATACACCCTAGCCAAAAGTTTAAAATTACCTTAGTGATTTATAAAAACTTTACTTTATACAACCATGTGATTTGCTAAAAAAAAAAGACACATTTTATATTACCAACATTAATAGCTCTACGTATATACATCATTTTTGCTCAGTCACTTTATTGCTCTTTTTTTATAATGGTAAAAAAAAAGAGGTGACAGATTTCGAGCATGAAAGAATTATTGGTTTCCATGAAGCTGGCAATTCTGAAAGAACAATTTCAAAAAAAACTAGATATGATAAGACCACAATTCATAACATTATAATGAAATTTCACAAATTCAATACTATTTCTGTTGTCCCAAGAAGTGGACGCCAAAAAAAATAACTCAATGTGATAAACACCATCTCAAGACAATAATAAAAAAAAGCTGCTATGAACCTGTAGAAAAAATATACAAAATTTTCTTGAAATCATTTGGAAATCTTGTAAGCAAAAAAACCATTAGATGTACTTTATATTAAATAGGATATTATAGTCGAACGGGTTTTAGAAAGCCTTTCGTTAATGAGACTAATCGAAAAAATTAGTTAAATTGGGCATGTAAAAAATATTTTTGGAAAATAGATGATTGGAAAAAAATAGTGTAGAGCAATGAATCCAGATTTACTTTATTTAAAAATGACAGAAAAATTCATATATGGAGGCTTCCTAAAAAAAAATATGATTCTAGTTGTCTCATTCCTATGGTAAAATATGGTGATAAGGGATTATGTTATGGGGATATTTTTCTTGGTTTGAATTAAATCCTTTAGTTAGAATTGATGGCTGTGTTAATAGTCAAAGATATATAGAAGAAATTGTTGACTATTATCTAATATCTTTTTTAGAGGAATTTGAAGAAAGCAACAGTGAGTATTTTTTTCAACAAGATAATGCTAAAATTCATACCAGCGTACAAACACAAAATTTCATAAATGAAGTGGCGATATCTCTCTTATCGTGGCCAGGGTAAAGTCCAGACTTAGATTCTATCGAACATTTATGGAATGAGCTTGAATGGCATATAAGAGCAAAAAATATTTCTCCAAAAAATTTGGACAAATTGATGATTTTTTTACAAGAATATTGATTACAAATTTCAAGTGATATGTTTCAAAAATTAATAATTAGTATGGAAAATCAGATAAAGGTTGTAATAAAAGCCTGCGGCTACTCTACTAAATATTAATAAATGTTATTAAATAGTTTTCTTAAAATAAATTAAATAAATTATTAATTAATTTAATTTAATTTTTTTTTGATTTTTTAATAATAAATCTAATAAATTTTTAATAAAATTTTTTATATAATAATATAATATATAAATTTAGATATAAATATAGTTAATTAAATATAATAAAATAAAAAGATTTTTAGCTTGAAATTAAATTAAATTATTTATTTATTTATTTGATAATAGTTTAAATATTATGAAAATTTATGAAAAATTTTTTTAATATCAATTAAATATATAATTACTTATATTTTAATTTTAATAAAAAATTGTTATTATATTATTATAATAATAATAAATTATTTACAATTATTTAAATTTTATTAGGTGGTCCTAAACTTTTGGCCAGGAAGTGTATTATGGTATTTTTATAATTTTTATTTATTCAACTTTTTTATTATTATTAAAACGATATTTGGTCTAACACAATAACAACAATTTACACTCTTGAGACTGTGGTAATGATAGAAATTATTCGTTACTTCGAATTAAAAAAATATACACAAAAAAATATTTATTCTTGTAGAAATTGACGTAATTCGAATATGCGCAGCAAAAATAAGTGCATTGATGAAAAATGTAAAAGAAAATTGACGATGACTATAGAAAAAAATAGATTATTGAAAGCAACCTTTCTATTAGGGTTGGCAATTATTAAAACGAAAAGGAAAAAGTCAAAATAAATATACAATCAATTACGTATCCAAAAAAATGAAATCGTAGAATACGAAATAGCCATTAAATAAATATTATTGGTTCATCAATTTTTTTAGATGCTTTTCTATAGATGAAAATAGTTAAATCAATTTACAAAAATAGTATGAATCTTTTCAAAATCAGAAGGGTTTTTAAGTTTGATGCTATGTGAATGAGGACCATCATTATTTCCTGAAGATAAGAGAGGGAGTTTGATCCGTCCGAGATACGAAGAATTTTGCACGGCATTACCGTCCTGGTTAATTGTTACACGACTGAGTAAATCGACTAGCGCATATTTAAAAAATATATATATATACAATGGAATAAAATTTCAAACCTTTGAGGGCACTTGGAGAGTTGTCTTCCCCAGCTGTTGGATTTTTGATTTCAATTTATTACTCCGCTGTTGTAATGTATACATGACCGATTGTTGCATTTGATATTGATATTCAGGTGACTTGTTTAACGGTTGCCATTTTTTGCGATTCTCTACCGTTTTTGTGAGATCAACAATTCGAGGTGATGAGCTGACAGAGCGGAATTGCTAGAAAAATGGCATGAATTCAAGGATAAAGGAATAATACAGGTCATGTAAGTTAATAAGCTTAACTATGTGGTAAACTTGGCGAATTTGAGAATTACATTGTGATCTCAAAATCAAAGCAATTTCTGCCTCTCCGTTAATAGCAAAATATATTATAATAATAATACCTTGAGCAATGATTTAGCCTCGTCTGCCGCATTCCTTAACAATTCTTCATTCTGCTCTTTAATTATACGATGTTTTTTAGGTTGTAGATGCCAATTTAATACATTTAATGCGTCCTTCCCCTTCAAGTGGGAATTTTCTGCTCTTAGATAACGAACTGCAAACTTCAAGGATTCGATCTAATAAGAAATGATGATCAGAAAGAGCGCATTGAAAATAAACATAAAGCCAATCTCACAAAGAATAGAATACCTGACTAGTTAAACGTTCAGTCTCCAACGGATTGGCATCGGTCACTATGACAATTCCTTCTTTGTCTAATTCATCTTCCCCATCTTTAAGATACTTAGGGTTTTCGGGTGAAACTATCAAATAGTATAGTTGAACAGGGATAAGAATTAGATAATTAAAATGGGTATTCAAAATATTTAACGTAATAATACCTTGTCCATTGATGTCAACGGCGAACTGTCTATTCTGCTGCTCCAGACTTTCGATTTCTAATTGAAGACTTTCCATAGCCTCCTCAAAGTCAGACTCTTGTTTCCTTGAGTTGGCCAACTCTTGTTCGAGAGCGGCGATTATGTCGGCCTATTGTAATATGATAAATAAATAAATGTGAATGTGTATACCAATAAATAGTAAGATTGTTACTGTAAATACCTGTTTCTTTGCAGCTTCCATACGTTTTTCTAATAGTTCAATCTTGACGCCTTCTTCTTGCAGTTTTTGTTCCTAAAATTTTGAACATAAATTCGAATATTAAATATCCTCTCCTAATATCTAAGTAGTTGTAGAAACATTCGCTAGGGAATTACCTTAATCTTAATTTCCGTCTTTAATTCACGTATTTCTTTGTCAGCTTGTTGCAACTTGCGTTCCGTGTCGGCATTGACAATGACTTCTTTCTTTAATGCTGTCGATCTCGTAAGCCAGGGAGCTTCACCCTTGATTACTGTAATAATCAAAGTCAGAGACTGTTGCGAAAAATATGCACGTAAATATAATGGGATACATACTATTAGTCGACTGATCCGGGTCATTAGCAATATTATTTAAATCATTGATTTCCTTGCATAAAGTTTGTAATGACTTTATACAACCCTCCCACATATTTGTTTCATTGACACTTAAAATATTTTCGGTCACTTTATAAATAATTTGCTGAAGTCCGCTTAATTGCAATTCTTCCTTTGTACCTTTTTTTTCATTTATGTAAGCGGAAATCCCTTTCCAAACCTAAAATTACCGTGTTAATATAAAAATTGCTCGTCTGAATAGCCGTGTCAAATAAATCCATTAAAAAAAAAAATTCACACCTCATGACAAAAGTTTGTAAGTTTTGTACTTATCGAGTAGACCATCTTAAATTGTGGTAAGAGTTCGGATTTCAACATGGATGGTTTTTCGCCTAGATCATCAAGACGACGAAGTAATTTCCTATAAAATAGATGAATTTTATTAGGATCAAATGTTTCATTTTAAACTATTTGTCATAATCTTCCTACCTGGCCATAACCTTACTGCTTCGAGCTTGCGATACTAAGCTTTGCAAGGGTTGGAAGAAGTCGGAATTAAATTGTTCAATGCCATCGGCAACGCTAATTTCTAATTCATCATGATATTAATGTTAGCTGATTTTTAGGGACGGGATCATTTGAATATAATCATAAATTAGACAACCTTCGTCTTTGCATGCTAGTGCAACGGCTTGTTTGGCATGTCCGAGAGTTACTGCTATAGTATCTGCGTTCAAATCAATTGTTCTACTATACGAATAGAATCTATCTGCTTCATCGATTTTAGTGCCTGTGAGATAAATCTCCGCCAAATGTTCAAGCTGGGCAATCGATCTAGAAATTCCGAATACATGTTAATAAATGAATTCAATAATATATTAAAAAAGCAATAATAATAAATCCAACCTTTGTACATCAACTATACGCTCCGCTTCTTTAAGCTCTTCTTTTCTCAGCAAATTTACGATGACTTGTATACTAATTAAAGAATGATCAACTTGAATAATAATAATAACAACAACAATAATAATAATAATAATAATAATATAGAAATTTATAGAAATTTGATTGGAATTTAGATTAAGTACTAACCGGCGTTCAGTTCCTACAAGATCGTGATATACCTGTCCCATCTTAAGGAACGTCTCGACAGGACAACCACTCACAAATGAAACAAATCGCTTAGACAAATCGGAAAACCATGCCAATTTTTGCCGTAACTACATTAAAAGGTTAATTATATAAGTTGGTTCGGAATAAACAATAGTGTTAAAGGTTCGCCACGAAATATACCTCGCAAACAGCAATTAACTCTTCCGGAACAGTGCTGCTTAGTTTTTCCGGAATATTATGAATTTGTTCAATTTGTTTGGCGATTAACTCTGACTTAAATACGAGACGTTTCAACAAAAGTAAACAACGAATTGGATCATTCTCGGTGCTGAAATATGCTTCGGGCAAGTAGGACTAAAATTTGTGAAAATAAAGTTATCATTTATTTCACACCGCTGCAAGTTCTGAATATATCTAATCCAATATACCTGAATAATATCCAAATTTTCTGAAGCTTGCGTGGCATCAAGCTTTCGAAGTTCCAAATCGATCTGTTTCGCTTGTGCTTTAAGTGCAGATGATTTCAACTGAATATTCAAACTAAGCATAGCTTGTGATTGACTGCTAAGATTTTGCGATTCCGAGGATTGAGTTTCTTTTTGACGGAATTGTTCCAAATCGCTAATTTATTTTTAAAATTCATGTTACATTGTCAAGTGAAAAAACATAACATTGAAAATATTAAGTAAATTTACCTCTGCAAGTTGGCCACCAATTCGCGGAATTGGTTAATGGTATTTTCATAATCTGCGTTCGTTTCTTCTGCCGCTTCGATGCGTTTCATGTATTCTCTGATAAGTTGATCCTTGTGATCTGTGAAAGGAGTGTATGAATATGGATATTTTCCAATTGAAACTCCGTATATCATATTAAATGATTTAAGTTCCACATACCGATCTCAGCCTGAAGTTGCTTTTCGTTTTCAATGTGACTTTCTTCGAGCTCGTCATTTAATTCCTTAAGGGCTTCAAGGTCCTCAATTGTAACACGTTGTTCCTCGATTTTCTAAATATGAAAAAAATATTATGAGAACACTATTAATATGATAAGATGCCAAAATGATAATTACCTCTTCATAAAATAGATTCTGCCCAGTAAGTTCTTCAAGCATGTCTACCGCATTTTTGGCGTCATCTAAACGAGTCTTCAAATCTTCTATTTGAGCTTGGGCCAATTTCAGTTGATCATTTGTTTGGTCATATTGAACTAAGGAAATAATAGAATATCAGCCCGAACTCTTGACGCTAGTAAACATCTCGTACGCCTAATTGGGTCTAATTATGACAAACCTTGAATGTCCTGAAGTGATGTTAACTCTTTTTCCAATACCTTTATTTTCTTATTGAGATCGGCTTCTTGTTCACTCGAAATATCACGAAGTCTAAGAGAGTGAAAAACTTGCTTAAAAATTTATTCCATTGAAAATTACGATGCAGAAGAAAGTCACATACCGAACAAGTGCCTCTTTTAATCGTTCATTATGCTTCTCGAGCTGAATAATCTCAACGGATGGTCTTTCTTCTCCATTTATACTACTTTGGATAATGTCTAATAATTATTCAATAGGAATCGACACGTGAATAATCATATTCTGCTGAAATAAGGGGCGAAAAATATCATGTCCATTTATCTTACCACCCTCTTGTTTAAATACATCAAGATCTACACTAATCTCTTCTATTTTTTCTTTTAACAGGTTCACCTCATGCTGCAGATTTTCTGCCTTTTCCTCCGCCAACTCCTTATCTAGTGTCACACTCTCCAGGGATTCTACCGTTTCATTATATCTTCCCTCAAAGAGTTCCTTCTCGGAATTAATGTCTTTCAACTGCTTTCTGAGCTCTCTTACTTCCTGTTGCGCTTCCGTCACCTTACCTGTCATATTGACGAAAATTAGTGATTGAAAAGAAACGCTTTATATATGAATGATTTTTAGTAATACTTTGTAGTTTTGGCTTGACAGCCATAAACTGTTCAGCTTCGGACTTAAATTTTTCAAGTTCACGCATTTTCTCCCTATCTTCTTGACGCTTATTTTCTAATATTTTAAGTTTCAATCTTAATTCTTCATATTCTTTTTGTGAGACGGTCTAATAAGATAACAATAGAAAATCTCCTTAATATTTTCACAAGAAATATATATATCTATCTAAAGTCATGCATACTTGTTCGCGAAGAGCAGGGGTTTCCTGTAATGAGTATGGATCTAAAGAATTTGCTGCTTCGTTCTTTACTTCGAATTTATACATATCTGCTTTGTTCGTCTCAACCTTAAGTGCTGAAGTTTCTTGTTCTTCATTATCTTCAATTAGATCTTCGGGTAAAGATTTCCCGTTACCATCAAGCTCATCATCTTCTATTACTTCTCCAGACATAAATCCTTGGTCACTAATGTCCATCTTCTTAATATCGATGTTACTAGCATCAGAAACCCCACGCGGCCTCTTGGAAAATGTAGGACTGGTAGGACCACGATAGTTAAATTTATCACCTGATGGCGAGCTTAATGCTCCTGGAACATTCTGCTGTCCTTTTGTTAAACGGAGAGGACTGGGTATTCCAGAATTATTGAATCTAGTAGATGTTGGTATGCCACCCAACGAGACTGGAAGTGATGAACGAACTCCATTTCGGGTCGCAATGTTACTATTATTGTTCGTATCATTGGGCGGGGCAAAGCCTTGAATAACCTGCAAGAAATTTTTGTCATGAGTGTTTTTTTAGAAAAGGGGTAATAAAAAAATAAAAAAATAAGTCTTACCTGACTTTGTAAAGGTTGTGAGCTGGGTAAAGATTTAACTTGTGAGGGTCTTACAAAGACCCCATGTTTTGGTTTACAGTCAAAATAATTTTTGCCTTTCACTGAGCCATCGTTTTTTCCTGAAGGTTCATCCAGTTCAACACCGACCCATTTTCCAGGAGCGAATTCGGTAGGACCTACAAAACGAATAGTCCCCGAGTTCCCTGAAATCTCGCACCTTGCGTCCACAACCAATTCTGAAGCTGTGGCCATATTTACATTCAATGGCTAGACCGTTAAGAAAATGAAGTATTAGACACGCTAATAGTGCGTTTTCTTCGTTCCAATCATTTTATGGTTTAATCTTGCACTACCGGCATCAATAATCACATGATCTTTTTACATGCTCAGGTATAAAAAATACAAAATGACCGAAAGTTGACGACGGTGGGGTTTGAACCCACGCATGTTTCCATACCAGGGCCTAAACCTGGCCCCTTGGACCACTCGGGCACGTCGCCATATTACTGATGTAATTGAAATTTGGATGTCAAAGCTAATATAGCAACATCCATTGTTGGATAAAAAAAATATATAATTGTACAATAAACTCGTATAGGTCACGTGGTTTTGCGATTTGGGGGGGTTTTTTTTTTTTTTTTTTTTTCTAATCTTTTTTAGCCTTTAATTTCTCCAATTCTATAAGAATGTCCTGTCTGTTATTAGGTGGGCGCTGTAAATATGTAGAATCAAGTTAACAAGAGATATTTTGATTGAGCCATTGCTGTGAGTACGTGTGATTTATGTTCATTTACATGAGTTTTTTCCGGCCAAATTTTTACCTAAACAAAAAAGGGTGCATAATAAAGATTTATATATCATCGAGCATAAAAAAATTTTGCGCAAGTGACCCAATTTTACCTCTTACTTACCCTACTAATATGCTTCTCGTAAAACTCGGGGCTGCCAAAATAATACATTGCAGCTACGGGAAAAAAGACATAAAGGCCAAACTGATAACAGAATAGATAGAATGAAAAAGGTGATTTTAATAATGAAAAAAAATATATAATAAAAGGATATACCTTGAATAGTTCCAGATTTGGGCCCGCCATTATATCGCGGGGAAAGAAAATTCACGTTCCTAAGACCTAAATCGTGTTATTTATATTTCAATCTGATTTTGTCACCTGACATTGATGTCATATATGTAAGTCAGTACACACATTGACGAAATCCTTATACCATGTCCAGATTCCTCACCCTTTTGTCAATAAGTCCCAGGATACATAGAGTTCAACGAAGGTTCAGCTCTGGAAATTCGTCCATTGATACCGCGGACTCTAAAGATCATTCGGTTGTGAAGACACCCGAAACTACACAAGTCATAACGGCCGATGTTATATCGGGTGCGCCAGGTAGTAGCATTTTAAAAAATCTTATCATTAATAATGACTTGAGAATTGAAATGTTCTTACAAATTATAGAGGAAATTCGATTTCGAACTGTAAGAATTTATAAGCCTTCTAAGACTGCTATGCAATCTGGAACTCATAACACTAAACAATGGAGGATTGACTTTGATATCCTGGAAGGAGGCGACAGATGGGAAAATCCGCTAATGGGTTGGGCCAGCAGGTATGTGATATTTGACTAATCAGTTTAACATAAACAAAGGTACTTGCTAAATTCATTTTCTTATATTCCCATCATAGCGCTGACTATGTACAGGCGTTACGAATGAAATTCATCTCAAAAGAAGATGCGATTGATTTTGCTGAAAAACAAGGTAAATATATCGATTTTTAACACATTATTTATTTCTACAACTTCAATAAATCCAATTCTTTCTTTCAGGTTGGGATTATTATGTTCATGAAATGAAAGAATCGAAATTCCGTAAAAAGGTGTATGCCGATAATTATAAGTATTCACCGGGAAAACTGAGGATCATTAAAACAAAGTAACGACAATTTAAGTATGTATGTTAAATAAAAAATCGAATTTCATTAATCATTATCGAGATTTATCTTATATAGTGTAAAGCTAACAATAATAATTTTCGAAATGATTTATTTTGAATTAGATCAAAAATTTTTTTTACAAGACTATTTACACTCATGTTTAATATATTCAGAGGGAATATAAGTCTTATTAATTCAACTGATTTTTGATATAGTCAAAACATTCGATCATTAATAAAATTTATCATTGAGTGAATCATCTAATCTTCAATGATTAAATAGTTAGTATAATAATTTAATATAAATTTAATTTTAGTAAATTAAATGTATATTAGTCATTATATTAACTTATAATATTAAAAAAAACATGAAACAAGCATTAAATATTGCTATTTTTGGAAATAAATAAATTATTTGTCTAAAAAATTACAGTTTTAATTAATTAAAACTAATAACATTATAAGCTTATTTTTATTATTTAAAATTAGATAAACTTATTTAATCTTTTTAAAAAATCACAAATAAATATTAAATAATATTTTTTATTTAAATTCAAAATTATTTTTAAGTTGATATTTGTAATTTTATAAGATTGATTTATTTATATTTAATCGTTTTTTTAAGATTGTTAATATATAAAACAAGTTATTTATTAATGATATATTTGAACAAACAATATTTTTTATTTGATATATATTATATATCTTGATTTTATATTAAAATACCTTTTTAATTTGAAATTTTAATTATTATTTTTTTTTTAATCAACTAGTTAGATTTTGCCTAGCATAATATTTTATTTAAAATATTTCTTATATTACAAGATTTACTATTTTAAACTATTTTATATATTATTAAACTATATTAAATTACTTTTATATTAACTTGTTACTATTGATTCAAATCCTTAAAAATATGGATCAAGACTAATGTGCCAAAATACTATTAGTATTATTATTATATTTTTAATTCTATTGCAAATTATAATATTTTAAAAAAGTTGAAATAAAAAAACCAAAATAATATCTATATTTAACAAATAAAACTTTATAAAAAAAATATTTTAAATCTATATTATTTGCAAATAAGTATACTATTTAATTTTATCTTTTTTAAAATTATTTAAAAATATTCAAAAAATTTATCTTATAGATTTATTGCTTATAAATTATTTTAACTATTAATTTTTTTTTTTTTTTTTTTTTAATCCCACAATCAGGTTGATATCGTTTATTTATTAAATTATAAAGAACTATTACATATACAAGAATACATGCAAAGTACAAATTTCCCCAATCCAACTCACTCGTCTTTAGCCGAAGCCTCTAGATACGATTTATGGAGGTGATATATTATTCCCCTAAAGGATGGGATTAAAATTCCAAATTTCCAATAGAATCAGCACCTGCAGATCACCTCCACAGTCACGACTATAAATTCATCCCCCTCTTGTAGAAACTACATATGGGGAAAAAGAAATAAAAAAAGGAATTTTTTGACAAAGAGAAAAAAAAAAAGGCTATCATTTATTCTAACTATCATTGAAAAGATTATCTCAGTAAACTTAAAACCCAAGCCCTTCATGGATTTCCACTTCTCATCACCTGTGGCCAGTTAGACTGTTTAATTTTCAATGGAGTAGTC